AATTTAATTCCTTAATGTACAAATAAATAACTTTGTACTGCGGTATTAGTATTTTTTGTCAGTTTACAATTTAAAAAATAAATTCTTAAATAACATTTTCTAACAATTAACTTTTATTTTTGACTGCTCATTTAAAATTGACACCCCCATTGTGAACCAGTATCGTGGACGGTTTTATTTAATAAAACTACAGCAATTAAGGCACTGTGACTGCTTAAGTATTTTTTATCATAAATAGGACATTAAATATTACACACGAGAAATCTAGAATCCATTTTGTAAAGATTTTACTCTAAAATGTGAACAAATAGGGACAGAAATGATTGAATCTATAACCGATTAACTTTGAAAATAAATTCAAGATGGCCGCCACATCCAACTAACCTTAAAAAAATACAAAACAATGTCTCTCAGTAAGTTATTCAGATGATAAGGTAAAAATTGGTGTTGTAGTAGCTGAGTGACATCTTGTCATAACACGAGTTTCATCCCGCCTTACTTTAACTCTAAAAACAGTCCTCTTCCAGTTGTTCTGATGCATGCTCAATAATCCAGGTAGAGAAATCTAACAAAGTTAAGTCAGGTCCTCTCTGGATGGACTAACAATAAAAGAATGTTGCAGGGAGGTTTGTAATCCGTAAAGTTTCCCAGCTGCACTCTGAGAAAGGCCATTTGTAATCCTGAAATTCAATCCATGATGCTCCCATGTTTGTTGCAGGAACTTGTGTGTGCTATGGGGTCTCCAGTTTCTCCTATTGTTGCCAACCTGTACATGGAGGAGGTAGAATATAGGTACAATATACCTATAGGTAGGTATATTGTGTATGTTGTTCAGTATCAAGAGTGTGATCAGTCTTACACTAGACAAACTAAACAGCCACTGGCCAAAAGGATGGACCAGCACAGAAGATCAACATCATCAGGCCAGGACTCTGCAGTCTACACTCATCTCCAGGCCAGCGGTCACTCTTTCAGGGATGAAGATGTTCACATCCTGGACAGAGAGGAACGATGGTTTTAGAGAGGAGTAAAGGAGGCCATCTTTGTGAAAAGAAATCGTCCATCATTAAAGAGGGGTGGAGGCCTCCGGGTTCAACTGTCCCCCTCTTACAATGCTGTGATTGCTAGTATCACTCAGCCCTCTGTGAGTAGTAAACAGCCATCAGGGCACTAACGATCAATTATTAGGCTGATGGTCCTCCAGTTTACATGTGAACTGCTGGTTCTGGATGTCAACAACAAACTGGTTGATCCACTGAAAAGATGCTATTTATAAGACTGAGTTTAGTTCAGCTCCTCAGACTGAAGAAGTCTTCTGGACAAAAGACGAAACAGTTCAACATTTTTTAGTCCCTCCAGAGGACCTGACTTAACTTTGTTAGAGGTTCCTCCTAGTTTTTTTTTTTGTGTGTGTGTGGAAGACTCAAGACATCACACCTCTGCGTTAACGTGATGACGTTTGACCCAAACAGCCAGACCTGCAGTGATCCATCTCCGTACCAGAGCCTTGACTAAAGCTCAGTGTCACGACTAGATAATTTTAAAAAACACACATCACCAAAACTGCCTTTGCTTTTACGTGTTGAGAATTGTGTCTGTACTACAACCAAACAAGACGTTTACAGAAAAAAAAAAAAAAAAAGATGCCAGTTCGTTTGCGTCAGACTCATGGAGCTGCTTGTGTGCTGTCGTGGCGTTAACGTCATTTAGTTGGCTGAGTTGTTAGAATAAAACGTCTCACTGAGTGTTTATAAATCCTTGTGAGTGTCTCCTCCCAAGTAAACTGTGCTGTTTGGTGATAAGGCAGCTCATTTAGGCCACGGTCCCTCGATAAGCCCGCTGAGTCAAACAACCCTTATCTCCTGAAGGCCAGTGTGTGACCCTGACTGAAAGGATGCTCCTGAAGGCCTCTCAGAGAGGAGAGACTGGATTTAAGGCTCATCTGGCAGAAAAACCTTCAGATTTCAGAACGTCATGAATTTAAGTCATTATCGTTTTAAAGGCTTCAGTCGTGCAACCTTCAAAGTCTCGCAGCAGAATGAGATTCTGCTTGACCAAAATAATAAAAAGTTACATCAAAGTTAACAAACTAAAGCAAAAATGTCAATTTTGGAGATCATAAAACAGAAATAAATGTTTTTTTGTTTTTTTTAAAGCCAGAAACACTATTTTTTCTGCTGTCATCTTCTGATTTTAAAAGCAGGGAAAGGTTTCTTCCTCTTAACAGGTTTTTTTAATATAAACAGTCACAGAAATGCTGCCACATGTTGCAGACTGAGGAAACTTCAATGAACAGAAAAGTGCAAAGAGATCCAATGCGAGGTGTATGCAGATCTCGTTATCCTCAGGGTTAGAAGAAGCTGAATATAAAACAATTTCACCAAAGGAAAATAAATCAGTGCGTTCTCCTTTTGTTTGCTTCAGCTTTTGGTAAAATATGAAAAGTTTAAGCCTCAAAGACATTTGAGCGCTCAGATAACTTTCAGCATTTTTGTTTTGTTTAGTTGCCTCTGATTCATTCACTGTCCAAAAAGAAAGCACAGTTAGGTTATTAAAAAAATACAGGTTTTAATCTATATCGGAAATTACAATTTATAACAGATAAACTTGAAATCTGGAAAACTTTCAATTATTTCTATTGCTTGACAGACAAACAAAAGACCTCCAGTTAATTATTTGTAAATTAAAAAGTGGGCAACTGTTCAAATATGGCTTTAAAAGAAGAAAATAACATATACATTTTAACCATAAAACCCATAACTAATTTGTAAATGAGCATCAAAGCAGATCCATCCTTACAGGAGAGGTCAAAGGTTACGAGGGGCTGATTGAAGCTGTGAGAGAAGATGATCATCGATATAAAATGTGCACAGTTCGATAAACAAATGATCCCAGAAGAGGATGAGTTGGGCGTTTGGTTAAAAAGAACAAAACTAGCACCTTTCTCTGGAAAAAAATTACATCTGGGAAAACAAGAAGTTAATAAAAGGTGAACGTCTCCTACAGCGGAAAATTATTCAAAACACATTAAAGCCACAAACTGAAAATGTTACCATGACCTCACAGACCTCAAAACCACCGAAAGGAACTTTTTGAGCAGATCACAAGTAACTGGGCCAAGACCAGTTCTAATGGATGGGGCTGAGGTGTCGACTATTATAAGTACCTTGGACTGTGGCTGGACAGCCAGTTGGACTGGACATCACACAGCGACCATGCAGGAAGGGTCAGAGCAGCCTGTACTTCCTGAGGAGGCTGCAGCCTTTTCACATCTGCAGGAAACTCCTGTGGATGTTCTACCAGTCTGTGGTTATCATTGTGTTTTTCTACACCGTCGTATGCTGGGTGGGAAGGGGGAGGGGGTGCAGCACAACCATCTGATCAGGCGGGCTGGCTCTGTGGTCAACATGAAACTGGATTCTATGGTGACGATGCCAGTCACCTTCTACATACCATCATCAGCAACCAGAGGAGCCCGTTGAGAGACAGACTGCTCCTTCACAAGTGCAGGATTAACAGACTGAGAAATTATTTCATCCCTCATGCCATCAGACTTTACAGGCAGCACATTTAACTAGTACATAAAACATTGTTTACTTCGTGTTTGGAAATACGTTATGAAATATAATATTTTGAGCCCCGTGTCGGACTGGAGACCTGTCCAGTGTGTACCCCGCCTCTCGCACAGCGATTGCTGGATATGGGCACCAGTGACCCTAAAAAGAAGAAGTGGGTAAAGATGATGGATGGATGGATGGATGGATGGATGGATGGATGGATGGATGGAT